GCAGAGATAGACAAAGTAATTGGACAGTCTCGTCAGCCCACCATAGCTGATAGACCCAACCTACCCTATACTGACGCTGTTATTCACGAGAGCCAGCGGGTGGGAAATATTGTTCCCTTGGGATTTCCTAAAATGGCCAGTAAAGATGCAACACTTGGAGGATACTTCATCCCCAAGGTAGGAGAATATTCACCAAAATCTCCAAGAGACAAAGGTCACGTTGTAAAATTTGTAAATCAATGTACTTACTGACAAAGCAAGTCGAGCACCCAGACAAGGTGGTGGAAATTAATTTAAACTGTCTGTATTGAATAACTGAGGGACCGTATTACAGTAATTATAATAAAATAAAGGATGGATATCAGTACGGACATACTGCTGGTCTTCTAACAGTAGCATGTGACATCATTTTTAAGTCTAGATACAAGCAGTAATTCAGTGTGGAACAGTCAAACATTCTTCATAATTCTTCCTATGGCAAGTTGGTCTGCAGCTGTTGTAACTGTTTTGCTGGGAATAAATCATTGGATCTGGCTGGACAGCAACATGACAAAGGCAGTCCACAGACACATGTGTCAACTGGACCAGTGTGTTGTCTTTGGAGGGTTAAGACATGTGGTTGCAGGTTATCCTTAAAGTAGTGCTAGGCCATAATGGTCCCTAAATCACTAAAGGGCCCAGCATGTTCCATTTGAAGTCAAACAGTTGGCAGGTGATCATATGGTTGCTTAACGTTAGTTTGCTTGACATTTGTTTTTACACACAACTTTCAGAGTCCACAAGACACAACGCCGACATCCTGGGAAACCTTTCCTGATGCTGTAGACATCACAGGGGTTTCTTCTTGCTGGAGACAACACTGATTTCCACCATTTGACCAAAAATCTGCAATGGATGTAGCATCACACTTTCCGGCAGAAAGAACATTTTGTATGAATAATCTGAAGGAGGCCCCTAAGAAATGAAACAGAGGTGGCTAAATTCAATGACCATATGAAACACAGGGTATGGAAATGGTAAATGGACTGAGCTTATATAGCGCTTTATCAAGTCCCTCCAGACCCCAAAGCGCTTTACACTTTACACTTACAGACATTCACCCATTCACACTCACACACTGATGAAATGACTGGTGTACTGTCGCTCCCTCCTAGTAACACAGACTAGCAGCTTCATTTGAACTATTTACTGAAATTCAACACAAGATACAGGCTATTGTTAGTGTGGTGGGTGACCATGTTTTTATATTAAATTAAATTAAATTAATATTATAAATACGAAAGCTGCCACAAATATATTATCAAACTATTTAATGGCACATTTGGGCTAACCATTGAAAACATGGATGAAATAAGAAATATGAAACAATGTAAAATACGTAGTAAACATAAAGACTGTTTTTAAAATTTGAATTTTTGGAGGAAAAATGGCAATATATTGCAATACATCGTTATCGTATTGTGACCCCTGTGTATCATATCACCAAACTCTTGCCAATACACAACTCTATTTCATGAGATGTCTCTGAAGTTTGAAGAGTCCCAGTCTACAGTTAGCAGCAGCCAGAACAGTGGCTGTAGGTCACCTCCATTTACCCAAACCAGCTCTAGTCCCACTGGTTTGAGCCACTCCAGCCATTGTCGTCCAGCAACCGAAGAGAGCTGAGCCTGTGGAAAAACACCTCCTGAAGACGGTCTTGCTCCTTCTGGTGTAAACATGAATAAGCTGTTTTTGGAGTTCAACAAAACATGACCATATGCAAAACATGATATGGCACCTGTTCAATCCATGACTTTGATCTCTGCTCTGGGGTAATGGTAGCCTCAGCAGTAAACCTGCAGTCTAGCTGAAGCAAGTGATTGTGATCATGTCTGGGATGACATGATGAGTTGTATGTGTCAAAAACCTGCATTTAAATATCAGGCTCAGACACTTGGTGCAAAATACAACAGTCCTCACTTAGTGTGCTTCGTCTTGGGCGACCAAAACCTTCTTGGCCTGTGTAGTCCCATTGGTTCCATTTGATTAATGCCACCATCTGTTCAGTCCACAGCTGGGCAGTTGTGCAATACAACTACTTGGCTTTGTGCAAATCCACAATATAACCTCTGTCAAACCTTGTCAAGAGCTGGAAATTCTTTCTAACCCTGCATAACAAAGCACTACCATTACCATACAAATGGTTGGTCTTTGTTTGAAACAAATTTTGCTCAAAATGAATAATTCCTTATGGATGATTAGCCTTTTTTTTATCATTTAGTATGTTTGTACTCAACAGAGATCATCATGTTATTTCTTTTTGTCCAGGGCACAGCTATCACTACAAACCTAGCCTCTGTGCTGTTCGATAAAAATGAGTGGGAGACTCCAGACGTCTTTAATCCTGGGCATTTCTTGGATTCAGAGGGAAAGTTCCTTAAAAAAGATGCCTTCTTACCATTTTCAGCAGGTTGTTCTTCAGCTGTTTCGTCCTTAATGTCTGTTTTGTTGATTGCATCATTTTGTTGCCACCANTAAAGAAAAATAAACACAGACCATGACACTCACAATCCAAAAGACCCTTTTTGTTGTTTTTTGCCTCTGATACAGTCAAGTTAAACAATGTGCACATTGCACATTGTGTATATTGAGGTATATGGGTTATGCTGGAATTGCAGGTGATCATTACAAAATAAAGTGACAAGTGTCCCACAGATGTATTTGTTTCACAGTAGGTGAGTTCCTCATTGATTGTAAATCAAGTCAGTGTATGTGAGAGGTCAGTAAGGTGATGGCTTTTGGGAAAAAATCTGTTCTTGAATCTGTTCTTGTTCTGGTGCACCTGCAGCTCTTTCCTGAGGAGCAACAAGTCAAACAGTTCAGAGCCTGGGTGGGAGCTGTCCTTGACGATCTGCTCAGCTCTACTGAGGCAGTGTGATGACTAAATGTCTGTGAGGGAGGGGAGAGGACAGCCAATGATATTCTGAGCTGTCTTGACTATTTTCTGGAACCTCTCCCTGTTCACCAGGGTGCAGCTGCCGTACCATACTGTGATGTTAGCAAGCTTTCTATTGATGATCTGTATGTTAGCAGGCTCTCTATTGCTGATCTGTAGAAGGTCTGCAGCAAGTCAGAGTTCAGGTTGTGCTTCCTAAGGACTCTCAGAAAATGTAGCCTCTGCTGAGCCTTCTTGATGACGGCTGTGGTATTCTCAGTCCAGGTGAGGTCAGCAGAGATATGGACACCCAGAAACCGGAAAGTATGGACCCTCTCCACACACACACCATTGACGTAGAGGGGGGTCAGATTGCTGCTGACTTTCCTGAAGTCAACAAATACCTCCTTGGTTTTTTTTTTTTTTTTGGTGTTTAGGGTCAGGTTATTCTTTGAACACCAGGATGTCAGCTCCAGGATCTCCTGTCTTTAAGCTGCCTTGTTTCCCTCGGATATGAGTCCAACCACTGTGGTGTCATCAGCAACCTTGACGGTGAGGTTGTTGTTGTGTGCCGGGCTGCAGTTGTGGGTGTAGAGACAGTTCAGCAGGGGGCTCAGCACGCAGCCCTATGGGGAGCCAGTGCTCAGCATCTGGGTGGAGGAGAGGTGGTGGCCAAGTCTCACAGCCTGGGACCGGTTGGTGAGAAAGTCTTTTATCCAGGTGCATGTAAGTGTGGGGAGGACAAGACTCTTGAGTTTGGTTATCAGAATGTCTGGGATGATAGTATTGAAAGCAGAAATGTAATCCACAAAGAGCATTCGCACGTAGCTGTGCTGCTGTTCCAGGTGGCTCAGTGTAGTGTGGAGAGCTACTGCTTCTTCTGTGGATCTATTTGTCCAGTATGTGAACTGGTGGGGGTCGAAGTTTGGAGGGAGATGGTCCTTGATGTGCTTAAGAACCAGTCTCTCGAAGCATTTCATGATTATCGGAGTAAGGGCCACCAGTTGTTAATCATTCAGGCTGGTTATGGTGGATTTCTTTAGCACAGAGATGATGGTTGCTGATTTAAAACAGGGTGGGATGACTGCCTGGGTCAGTGAGGGATTGAAAAATTTGGTGAAGGTGGGGGCGAGCCGGAGGCACAAGCACTGAGCACCTTACCTACCACGTGCTCCATCTGGGCCAGTAGCTTTCCTGGGATTCCCTGCTAGGAACATCTGCCTAACATCACGCTCCCCTACAGGGAGATGAGTGGTACAAGAACCAGGTGGGGGAGGGGGAGGGCTGGATCAGAGGTGTGCTGCTGTGGTGCTTCAAATCATGCAAAGAAGCAGTTTAACTCTTCTGCTAGTTGTGCACTCTGGTCTCCTGTAGTCACATCATAGCCTCTGAAATTAATGGTGTTCTGTATGCCCTTCCACACCTCCCGTGAGTTGTTGCTGGACAGATGGAACTCTATGCTCCTCCTGTAGTCAGCCTTAGCAGATTTTATGCCTTTCTTCAGGCTGGCTCGAGCAACTTGGTAAAGAGATCTGTCACCTGACCTGAAGGCAGCATCACAGGCTTTGAGGAGTGTACGAACATGGCTGGTCATCCAGGGTTTCTGGTTTTAGATAAACCCGGGATGTATGTTTCCTCTGTTACATTTACGATGCAGAGCTTGATGTAGTCCAGAACTGTTCCTGTGTACTTCTCCAGCTCCTGATGTTCGAATAGGCCCCAGTCAGTTTGTTGAAAACAGTCCTGTAGTTTACTGAGAGCATTTAAAGGCCAGGATGTAACAGTCTTTATGATGGGCCTTGTGCTGCATCTGAGGGGGGTGTAAGCTGGGGAGAGCAGGAGGGAAAGATGGTGCGACTGCCCGAGGTGGGGGAGGGGGGTGGCTCTGTATGCTTGTTTGATGTTTGAATACACATGATCCAGAGTGTTCTCCCCTCTAGTAAAACACTTGACATGCTGGTAAAATTTTGGGAGTACAGTCTTTAGGTTTGCCTTATTAAAATCTCCTGCAATGATGTGAACACTGTCGGGGTGCAGCCGCTTTTGTTCATTTACGGTGTTCAGCAGAAGGGAGAGTGCCGTGTTCACATTAGCATCTACTGGTATATACACAGCAGTGACCATCACTACTGTTAACTCCCTTGGTAGGAAGAAAGGTCGGCACCTCACAGACATGTACTTGATGTCTGGGGAACAGTGTGAACATTTTTAACTTCTGTTTTTGCTCTGCATTCTTTAAATCAAGTGCTATTTTTTTTCGTCTCGAGCTGTGTGCCAGACCTGTCGCCAGTGGTGGCTGGACAATAGGGGCGCCGCCCCACCACTAGTTTTTTGTACACAAAAAAATAAAAACAAATAAAATAACTAAATAAAACATTATAAATGTTTCGAAAAAAATATCATATATATGTTTTATGATAAGTAAAATAAATAATTTAGAGTTATTGATGTGTAACCTTCCATTTTACTCATGAGTTTTTTCGTGTTGAGTCACTTCCGGGTCACAAGCGGTTCGGCGCTCCAGAGTCCCATTGACAAGTCATTGTAAGATTTTGGACATGCGCAGTAAGTCCTAAATGCAAAGGAATATAGTGGCCTGTGTTCGCAGCTGACCTGTGAACACACACCGGTAGTGGGTGGGTCCACCTGTGTCGACGACTCGACGTCATAAGGCTGCAGCCTGCAGGGCAACACGAGATGGATTTTGGAGAACAACAAATGAGAAACAAAGGAGAAAACAACACCGTAAGTCTTTTATATCTAAACCTTTTCTAAGCAGAATATATGAGGAGAAACTTAAGAGATGTATTTGGACTGAATAAGCCGGAAATAAGAAAAAATCGAGCAAGAACGTGGTGTAGTTAGATTGTGTTGGTGTTCCCTTTATTTTTGAGCAGTATATAATATAAATAATGGTAAACACAATATAATAT